TGGAGAGGAATAGGAGTGGGAGTAGGAGAAGTAGGGGCAGTAGAAGCAGTAGGAGCTGTAGGAGCTGGGTAGAAGTAGTAGGAGTAGTATGAGTAGTAAGAGTAGTAGGAGGAGTAGTAGTAGTAGTAGTAGTAGTAGTGGCAGCAGTAGTAGTAGTAGTCGTAGTAGTAGTGGTGGTAGTAGTATTAGTAGTAGTAGTAGTAGTAGTAGTAGTAGTAGTAGTAGTGGAGTGGAGAGGAATAGGAGTGGGAGTAGGAGAAGTAGGGGCAGTAGAAGCAGTAGGAGCTGTAGTAGCTGGGTAGGAGTAGTAGGAGTAGTATGAGTAGTAAGAGTAGTAGGAGTAGGAGTAGTAGTAGTAGTAGTAGTAGTGGTGGTGGTAGTAGTAGTAGTAGTAGTAGCAGCAGTAGCCGTAGTAGTCGTAGTAGCAGCACAAGTAGCAGAAGTAGCAGTGGCAGTAGAAGTAGTAGTAGTGGTGGCGGTGTTGGTAGTAGTGGTTGTGGTGGTGGTGGTGGGGTCTTAGTATGAGCAGTAGGAGTAGCAGTATAAAGTAGTTGCCGAGTAGTCGTTGTAGTAGCAGTCGTAGTAGTAGTCGTAGTAGTAGTCGAAGTTATTTGTAGTCGTAGTAGTCGTTTTCGTACACATGAATAGTTTTGGTCTTTGTTTCAAGTCGTCGCCCAGGCTGAGGTTTCAGCTACAGTCCAGAGGTCAGTCCGGAACTTCTCGCATGTCCCAGCGGTCCGCCGGACAAAGTCCGCAGTGTAAAGGCCTGACTTGCGAAGAGAGGTGACTGTTGACCTTGTGTCCTTAACGATCCGAGCTTGGATCTACAGATCCTGCGAGCGTCTTCTTCACGCTGTCTCCGAACCCCCAAGCCTGCGCAGCAGAACTTAAGGGCGGTAGCTTGCAGCGTGTGAGAGCCGATCAGAAATGCAGTTCCACGCTTGCCCTTGCTAGTCGCTACGCAGAGGGAAGCGTTGGGAGGCTGAAGTAGACCCCGCAGATGCATGGAGATTGCAGTGTGGGCCCCTCTGCGAGAGACCCATTCGTTTTTGTGCCAAGATAAGCATGCTTGGCCGATAGGCAGTGCCACACAAGATGGATTTTGCTGAACCCGTCGGGACGAAAGCAACAGAGGCTCAGGCTGTTTTACGTGGCGTGGGCCCAAGATCCAGCTTCATCGCCCCAAGGCCTAGGGAGAAAACGAGCAGTGCCGAAGTTGGGGCTTCTTAGACCTCACTCTGCGCTCATCGCAGGCATGTTTGCTTAGCTACAAGTAGCTACTTTGTGGAGGAGCGTCCCTGCTAATTCCCGATTCCCGTGCTGGCGGAGGCGGTGGTACGTGGCCTCGCTGAGCTTTCGCCGCCGCCCCTCCTGGTTTTTACTTCCTCCATGGTCCCTGAGCTTGCAAAAGTTGCCGTTTTTTGCACATACATCACCATGTTTTCCAGCGTTCTCTATGAGCTCAGGCTCGGAGTTGATCATACAGAAGCCATCGTAACTCGAACTTCCGGGGCCAACGGAACAGAAGAACGAGTCACAAGCACGGATCACGTGACATGCAAGCACCTCCTTCCCCTGTTGCACGTTTCACGGTTCTATCCTCAACCCGAAGGGCCTCCCCGTGACTTTTCAAGCGGAAGCCCAGGCTGCCGTGCGTGGTGCCGGGCAGCCGCTGCGGAGCGGCTGCGATTGCTACGACCACGAGGTGACTTGGCATGTGCATAGATTGTCATAGATGGATAGGCAGATAGATACGCAGGTAGACACATAGAGACACATAGACACATAGATCGAGAGACAGACAGTTAGACTGATAGACAAACCGACAGATCGACAGATAGGCAGACAGATAGGTAGACTGACAGACAGATAGTATCAGATAGACAGAGAGAGACATAGAGAGAGATACGTGCAGTACTTCGATCTATTGGTACGTCCTGCTTTTGTGCTTGAGGCTGCCAGTGTGGAATGCACAACACAGTTGAACGAATTCCATGACCCTGCGATCGTTGAAGCATCCACTGATGCGTTTACGCCCCATGCATACTGCAGCTTGTGTCCTGTTACGATGAAATGCTGATGCCCTCCTTGGACAAGAGCCTTTGTTTGCAGCGTGTTGCATCTTCCTTTTGGAGCTTGTCCATGCCTTTGAGTGCGAGTTGCATGTTTACTCCAGGCACCCGCAACAGGAGGGGACAAAAGGGCACGGTGGGGAGTGACACTGCCATGCAGTGGCTGCGGACGTTGCCAAGTGGGAGCCAAAAAAATGACAGTCCCCTATGCCCGGGAGAAAGAGAGAGACGTAGATAGATAGACGGATAGATAGATAGACACAGGGATTTGTGGGTAGGTGGGTGGGTGGATGGGCAGATGCATAGATAGATAGATGGATTGATGGATAGATGGTGGGTGTGTGTATTATATGTATATATATATACATATATATATATATATATCACACACGCAGAAACATGCATAAATGCGCACATCTACAGAGTTTCCCTGCCCGAGTTTCCCTGGGCTCGGCGGATGGGACGGCAGGAATTTGACTGGTCTTTGTTGGATGTTCCCAGATTTCACGGGCTGCTTGCCGTCAGATGCTTGACGGAGAGGCCCCTGCCGTTTGACAAAGGACTACAACAGCATCTCGCGACCTCAACGAGGATGGGGAGAGGCTTACCAATACAGCCTCTTGGACACGATGTTTAGCTGGATCGCGGCTTGTGTGGCTTTAGCATCCACTATGAGGTTCCGGCCGAAATCTGTGAGGTATTTCGTGGTTTAAGATAAGAGGGCGTTCAACGCAGAATGTTTTGCCCAAAAACTTTTCTTCGAAGTGTAACGGAGGCCCCCGGCTGTCTGCATTTCCTAGCAGGCAAGATGGAGTCCGAGCGTCGAGCAGGAGCCCGAGGACAAGGGCCCACAACTGCCGACAATAAAGCTTTGAGGGTTTGACAGCTTCGGGTGTAATTCTGGGGATTTAATTATAAGGATGTTGGTAGTGTTCTTCTGGAAAAGGGCTTTAGCAGCAAAGGTCTGAAGTAAGGTCGGTCTTTCCTGTGCTTCAGAGAAGTAGATAGCTCTGAGGATTTTTTATAGGGGTCGTCCGGAATTACGACCTGGAATGCTCGTGTTGTCTCAGCTCGTCCTGGTAGTCGCTGTTCCGCTTTGGATGGGAGTAAGCATGTAGTGCATTTTGGCCAGCGTCATCATGGGCGCAGGACCAGCCCCAACCGCACAAATCCCAGCAAGATTTGGGATTGTTACATTGTCGTTAACCATATAATAACCCCACGCCTTCTGATTTAGTCTTGGCATGTCACTGTTCGGATTCTGGGTCGTTTCCTGTAGTATAACGAAGACAACAAAACGGTATCGGCACAATCAGCACCTCGTGCTATGTCAGCAGACAAAAGCTGTCCAGCGGAGTGAAAATCGAGGTTATGGGGATTCACGACAACAAAACGTTAGCGAAAACTGCAGTCTAGGATGGGACATGCTACTTAGAAAGTGGTCACACATCACCATCACCACCGCCACCGCCGCCGCCGCCACTGCCACTCCTACTGCTACTGCTACTGCTGCTGCTGCTGCTGCTGCTGCTGCTATTACTAGTACTACTACGGTGACAAAAAACGACCGGTAAAACTAGCACCAACACTACTACTAATGCCTGTAGTCATGCCGATACGAATGCCAATACGAATATGAACATTCACCAATACTAATAATGTAGACTGCAGTCGCTGTATCAAGGCATTGGAACCTTGCTAAGCACGGTAGGTGAATGTCGCAACAGCAGCTAGACAACGCAACAATAAGTCATGATGTATCATGATGTTACCAACAGCAACCGTGCTTTGGTACTGAATGAAACATTTCGCAACAGCAGAGAATCGGTGCAGTATCAGGCGGAGTATCACAGTCACCATAAGACTGTACAGCAACGAAGAAAGATAAACACAAGCAACCACAACAAGACGAAGTGTGACTGATTGGCAGAGTAACGGTCACAATAGCAACACCAGTCCTAACAGAGATGGGGTGCTCCATCCTCTCAGGCAAGAATGCTGGCTGAAAAGCTTGGCATCAGCATGGTGTGCTTGCCTGAGGGTCACGCTGCGACGGCGCAAGAGAAACCATGCAGCCATGCAGATCCTTTATCGGTGCCGGCCCCTATCTAACGCCGATGGAAGCGCCTCTGGCGACTTTCCAACTTATTTTTGTCGGAGTCGCTGGAGTGCGCTGAGGTCTCTGTGTCCATCCTTCATACTGGGCCCGGAGCGGCGCGTGGCCTCCAGAAAAGAAAGGACCTTTGGCTTCTCTTCCAGCCGCTCGGCTCAAAATGTCGACCTGAGGCCTCGAGATGTCTGTAGACGTCTGGAGTCACGGCCGAGAGTGGCGAAGGATGCGGCACCCAAACGTACATGCCCCGTATCCTTGTCAAAGTCTCGAGACCGTTTTTCTTTGGAGCTCTCCAGTTCTGTTAGGCGATCAGGCTTGCCCGTGTCACTTTCACTCTTCTTCGGATTCCCAGAGAGATCAGTGGGCACCCAATCGCTAAACTCCGGACTGATGGCCAGGCATGGTCCAGGCCTGGCTGCATGGCGACTGAGCCTCAGTTCTCTGCAGTGTGTGTGTGTGTGACGTGGTTGGTACGAACTTTCGAACTGATTTGCTGAGCTGTCGGTCCAACTATTACTATGCAGTACCTTCCGGTCAGGAGCAAAAAGTGCGCAGCCTCCTGATCGTCGATGTCCGCGATGTGGCCAAAGCGCACGTCGCAGCGGCATCAGGGAAAGCAACCGGCGAGCGTTTCATCGTATCGACCGAGGCGGGAGAAGGACCCCCGATCATGCAGCCCTCAAGTGATAGGTCAGGTGTCGACTTTGTCGAAGGGCTTTTGGATGCTTTTGGTCTTTCTGGTCCAGGCGGTGCATTGAGGCTGAAGTTTGCGTTGTGGGTTACTGCCACAGGTGCGCCTGCTACCGGACGAGGTGGCGAAGGCGCCTCCCTTTCTTTGGGTCTTCGTAATCATGCAAAGTTTGCCAGCAGGTCATCCGGGACTCTGGCGCAGCAGGTCCTGTACGTGCAGCAGCTTCGCCGGCTGCTACGGCAGAGCCACCCTGCCTGCGCCACTTGCATCAAAGGTGACAGGCAGCGACCGCATCGAGAGCTGCAAAAGCGTCAAGCCACAAAGCATAGCCCACCACCTGTGACAGTGTGGAAGCACAGGTCCTGGCGCGACAGAGGTGCGCTGTTCGGAGCGTTTAGCGCACCTGGGTGTGTCGTGCCGACCGGTGGAGGTGACGGCTGGGGGCTCACACGCGGGCTGTGGCGTTTGTTTCGCGTCCTGTAGTCAGAAAGCTTAGATGGGTTATGCCACTTATGTCAATGACAACCTTGATGCACAATGAACTGCAGGGACATGTTGTGACAGCGCATGGGAGTCGTCTCGTGCATGAGCGAGGGACGGTGACGGCTTGTGAGTCGCAGCAAAGATCCTTTTGAGCTTGAGCCGAGGTCAAAGACATGGTTCAGGACCTCCTCAGCATGGAGCAGAGCTGACTGCGGCTGTGCGTTTCACAAGACTCATCATGCCGTGGTGTCAGCTGTTGCTGCCAGGTGCTGGTGATGTCTTTCCGAGATTTAGTGCAGAAGCTTCGGCCCTTGAATGCTGACAGACATTTCGGTCGTGCTGTGCTTGTGCATCCATGCTCAATCCGCCACGCAGTAAACGCACCCCAACTGCAAAGGTAGGCAGCCTGGGTAGATAGCGCTAACTCTCAACAAAGGTCGGGGCAGCTTCTGAACCTGTAGCAGACATCGCTTCTGGCCTCATCCAAACCAGTCGACTTCAAACCTCGCCTCGGGCGTTGGCCATGATTGCAGCTGACCAGCAATCTTCATGCTACAGCTCGAACGCGCAGTCTTCGATCCCTGGCTGCACTGCACAGTCTGCTGCTGGTTTGATGTGCCAGGGTGTCGTATTCACCGTAGGTCACGGGATGCTGCAGGTAAGTTCCTGTGAAATCCTCCCTGCACTGCCAGAGGCAGGAAGAACAGGGCCGTCCGTGCCCAAGAGTAGTTAATTAACTAAGTCGGAGACGTTGAGGCTGTGGAGGTACTTCAGAGTCTATTTATTGATGCATGAGCTTTTGACAGCTGAGGACCTCGCGGAGCGCGCGGCCTCGGCAGGCTGGATGCTTGGGCTTGGTAGTTAGGGTATCATGATTCGTATCCCAATAGTGTTGCTGCTGTTATTTTGTGATGGGAGCAGTGCGGAGGTTTGGACATGGAAAATTTTCGTTTCGGGCTTCAGCAGGATTGAACCAAAAACGACCAGCCACATATTGACGTGCCCGCCCACAAATGCACACACGCTGTAGTCCATCGTGTCCACAACGTTTCGAAACACAGTTGGTCGCTTGGAAACATTCGAGGCAGGATGTTTCCAACACGGAGTTTGTATGTCCCTGGCTAGGCTAGTCTTTAACTGCTAGAAAGGTTGCTGTGTTAAAAAAGCAAGGCAAGCCTGTTTTTTAAGCATATGCACATATTTTATGTATGTTTGTATATGTATAGGTACATAGCCACGCCGAGAACCTACAGAAGGGGACGCGAAGATGCTGGTATTGTACTTCTTCTAGGAGTAAGTGTCTACTTAGCAAGGTATGTGCATCCGCAATTCATGGGCGTGAATGTACTGCTAATGTGCAGAGAGATTGAGAGTTGTTACGGGCAGTCAGACGTACGTAAGCAAGTAAGTCAGTAAGCATGTAAGTAACTACGTAAGCCAGTAAGCAAGAAAGCAAGTAAGTAAGTAAGCAAGTAGTAGCGAGCTATACTCCCCAGCTTGCTAGCCGAGCTCTGTCACTCACACTAACTTGCCCAAGTGTCAGCTAGAGAGTAACTCACCAACACATGCAGAATCGAGCAAGCAACTCCAGGTTTCCGTGAACCTGCAACGCATGTTCTCTCCATCTCTCCGGTGGATGCGGTGCATAATATGCTCTATCGGACTCTTTCGGGAAGCCTGTATAATCTTGTCGGAGCGGGCAGAGCCCCAGGCCGCAACTCTGCCCAAACACGGCTCTGGTCAGGTTCCAAGCGAACCGGTGGGAGCCATCCTGGGCACAGGACTCGGAGCCTGACTGCCTGGAAAAAGGTCTCAGCTGGGCGCTGGGCTCTGAGGTCTGGTAAGCCTTGGAAGGTGTCCTACGCCAATGGCGACACCTACGAGGGCGAGGCGAGGCCTGCCGCGCCAAGGGGCTTGAGACTTCAGCGCCCTTGAAGCGAGTTTTCCCGAAAACGCAGCTTCAAAATGGGACGTGTGCATGGAGGCAACTGGGCCGACTCCCGCGCAGAGTGTCCGACATGGATACGGTGCAGTGGCAGCAAAGAGTGGTAGTTTTGCGTTTTGTTTTAAATTCATGCCGGGAGCAAATGAAGCTGGGACGGTCTTTTTGTCAGGTGTGTACACCTACAGCGGTGGAATGGGCCGTCCAGATCTTATCGCACAAGCACAGGCTGTGCGTGAGCCCTACCGGGGCTGCTGGAGCTCCGGCAAAGCTACTCAGCCAAGGCTTCGAGGGCGAGTTCGTCGAGGATCGGAAGCAGGGATGGGGATCCTTCTTCTTCGAGAACGGTGATGCCTACGAGGTGCCAGCCAGGACGGAGAAGGAATGCCTTGCACAGCAAAGCCAGAGATGCCAGGGGCAATGGTTCAACGACCGCCAGCACGGCCGGGGCGTGTTCGCACACTGGGCTCCGGACGAAGGTATCCTCGTGTATGAGGCCCCCCAATCAAGGAATCAGGAAGCACAGGCTGCACGCTTCTGCAGTAGCCACACGGTTCAATCTGGACAGGAGTGAATTTCAATTCTTTGAAAGAGCATCGGAAGGTCGCCGCCCCCCCCCCCCCCCCCAACTCTCCCTTGCAGCTTTTGCAGGGCGAGTTCCGGGAAGGCTTGCGCTGCGGCAGCGGCTGCCTCGAGGAGATCCGTGCCAAAAAAAGACTCAGGCCTAGCCTGGCAGGGTCCTCTGGCAGGCTCGGGAGATGGCGGCGCTGTTTGGCAGCTGGGAGGCCCCCCTTGCCCGGAGCGGCTTTCGCAGCGAGAGGACATCAGGGCTTTGGGAAAGAGCTTGCTCCCAAACGCCTGCAGGAGGGCAAGCTGGTGAAGGGCGTGCAGTTGGAATT